TTTGACTTTGTTGCATTTGGTGAGCAGCAGGAGTGCTGATGAGTGACTGCTGTAGATGGGGTGGCTCAGAGCTCCCTGCTTGTGTGAGCTATCTAATTTGATGTTTGGACAAGCTTCCAGAGAGTAAATACCTGTAACACAGTCCTCCCAGTGTGTAGGCTGCAATGGGATTGTAAGGTGCATGTGTCACACTTTGTAATTGCAAAAATATGCCCACACCCACTTGTTGATGCCACGCAATTCCAATGATGACCATGGAAGGGCAGAGTAGTTGTTTAACAGGGAGAATGTGGATAGCCTGTTTGAGAGGTGCTGTCAAGGTAGAGCATGATGGGAAGCATGAGTCTTCACTGCTGGTACTTGATAAAACTCACGAGAGGAAAGGCATGGCTTATATTGACAAGTAAAAATAGAGGGTTGTTTTCTTCTGGTGACAGCTTTAAATCTGAGCTCTGTTCTTTTGGTATTTAGGAGTCTCTGGATGAAACATGCATTTGTGAATTACTCAACTATAGGTTTACTTACAAGGGAAGGTAATATTAGTACTGAACAATAAATATGTCATCTCCTCTACCAAAAATATCCTTAAAAGTGGGTAAACTTTTGAATGGAGAGTTTCTTTTCATCTTTTCCCTGACAGCCTAAACGTGTCTGATGTTTAAGTATTGGCTGCTGCAGTCCCTTTGGAGCAGACTCTGGAGCTCATATGACAGTGCTGCAGCAACTTGGAAAGTGAAGCCAGTGTAAAAAAATCCATACAAACAACAATAACAAAAAACCCCCAAACCCCAAACCTCACCCTCTATTTTTGAGAGTGGGGAGGGGAAAGGGGAATGGAGCTTAAACCTATCCTTACTTCTGTGCTTGTGATGATCTCCATATGGGATAGTGCCACCCAGTTCTGACTACTGTGGGAGTTCAGCTAGCTATCAGGGCTTAAGCAGTACTGTGTATGTGTAAAGCAGTTTGTGATTTATGTTACGCCTCTCATTCTGTAGCTTTTATCCTTTAAACTTCTTGCTTGGAATGTCACAAGGCCAAAGAATACTAACAAGGGTAAATTACTCAAAGTTTCCAACTGAAGAGAAAGCATTTTTGTTAAACCCTTTTTGCTTCCTTGCTTGCCTACAGGAATTTATGTATGTATGTGGAAGGCTTTGGCTCTGGCTTTAAGTTCTTGATTGGCACTTCCTGCTTGGTGGGAGTAGTGTTATGCTTTTGCATCAGCTGCAAATGGTTATGAGTTATTAACTGACTATGAGACTTCAAGCCAAGCATCTTGTGTTTCCTTTGCAGAAACACAGCTGAATGGAGCTTAAAGGGCTACAGATGAAAGAACTTGAACACGTTTCTGAAGGTTTAAGATGTGTCTGACAGTGACCTCGTTACCTTACTAATAAAGAAGAGGTTTTCAGCAGGAGCTTAGGATATCTTTACTCCAACTTCTTAATGTACTAACTGGAATGGTGTTCTGGCAACACTTCTGCATAGCAAAGTACTTACCCTATTACAGAACACTAATATTTTCTCTACTGATAATGCAACTCAATGGAGGAAAATAATGTTTTGATAAGCATGCCTGAAGATCGTTCCTTTCATGTTCGTTACAGGTAAGACTATTAATTTTGGTATGGATGAGTAAGTATAGTTAATAATAGAAAACTTAACAACTTGCAACAAATAGTTTGGTGTTTCTGTTACTAATGTTATTGAAACTGAAAGCTAGAATAACTTTTTCTTGGATTTTGAACTATGAAAAATCAGTTTTGTAATATAATAGATTATATTAGCATAATTACATGGTTATATAGTGTTGGAACTGTGTGTGGTTTCAGAATAATACCATTATCTGTATTTCTTTCTATTTCTGATGGAATGATATGAGGTATGATTCCTGCATGGTAATAGCAGCTCTCTCTCCTTTTAGCTTCTGGGCTGCATTTGCCAGTTGTTGAGTTTTGTGTGCTCAAGTTCTCTGTACTTGTCCCATTACTGCTTCTGTGAACAATGAATTTTTTAGGTGCACCATCAGCTACATCAGTATTTTTCTTGCTTAAGACAAAGAAGTGAGATTGATAGAAACTGATTTGATATCTTGGTCTAAAAAAGTACTGTTGCTGCAAGTCGAGAGGATATGTGGTTTTTCTTCTGAGAGCTTTTCCATTTTTCTTCTGGAATTCCCTTTACGGATGTGGGAGGACATGTTAGCACTTCAGACTTGCTCTAATGAACCTGAACAACAGAAGCATTGTGTAGTGCATGGTATCTGAATGGCTGGTGTTTGGAATGGTAAATCTTGCAGCTCATTCAGTATGGAGGGACACTGGGACACTGATATGATTGTTCTAAGAACAATATCAAGTGTCATTCTTGTCTGTTCCCCTCTATCCTGGTCATCCTGGCTTTGGAGGCCTTGTCCTTGCTACCTAACAGGAACTAAGCGCTATCCTTATTTGAAAGACAGTACATGTGACAGTTCAAAACTGAAAACATTTTGTCAGTGTTAGACTAGTCCTCTAATCTGCTGAGCAGAAGTACAGTTCTGGTGAGCAGTGCAGTCAGCAGGAAGAGTTTTTTCATGGTCGGGAAGGATATTAGCAGTTAAACTCTGCTCTCTTTATTTTGCTGAAATCTTTATAAGGTGGCTTTGAGAGCAGAAATCCCTAAGTGTGGGAGCATATTATTTTCTTTGTGCTCAGTGTATCTTGAATGTATCTACGTCCCAGCATTCCTGTACCATGTTTATCTTTGCTGTTGATGCTCTTTGTCTTCCCCAGGTGGCTACAGAAGATCCTTGCTCACCCTTTGATAAAAGCAGGAGCTGTTCAGGGTACTATTATAGAAGTAAATGGCATAAGAAAGCAGCACAACCAATTGTCTGGTTTAAACTGACAAGCCAAAAATAACTGCAGAAAAATTGGCAAGCACAGTCAGGGCAAAACGTCTTACTGCTCTGTCCTCTATTTCAGTACAGGCTTGAATGATACTGATTAACAGTATTATTAAATGGCCTTATTAAACCTTTCCTTAAGACCTGTGATTGGATGAATGTTTAAAAAACATGGAGGCATAATCCTTTTAATTTTTTAAAATATACAAAACTTTTCTAAAACTTAAGAGGAGAGCTGCAAATCCATTCAGTATATTGAACTGGAATTTTATGATAATTTAATTTAATGGCTGTAATTTGGAAAGATTATACTTGGTTGTAGTTTAAAATTTAATGCAGGAAAGACGAGGTCATAAATTACTGAGGGGAGGGGGGATATTACTTATGCATTTGTAATTTTTTTTACGTACTGGTCATGTCCCAGGCTCGTTTGGGTTTGACTGCTTTTTCCCTTCTTTCTGGTATTCCAATAGAACTGACTTTAAAAAGAAGTTGGTGGCCCCCTGCTAAGAAGAGGCTTTATTATGGATCTGTTTCATACTGTGCAAGCTGTTTCTCCCCACTGTAGTTGACCACTATCGCTTTAGCAGCCATAAAAATGCTTATGATGGTGGGGAGAAACTGGGTTTTTTTATGTTGTTTAGTGACTGAAAACACTGAAGCTAAAAAAGGGGGCTAATAAGTAATCTATAGAGTAACTGTAGAACTCACTTGTCTTGGCCTGCTAAATGCATACATGAGAAACTTGTAAGTTTTTATCTTGACTGGAGGAAAAAAAAAAAAAAAGCCTGATTCAGCTGTGTGGTTTCTTTGTTGTATGCATGTGGTGCTTCTGTGTTATTTTGTTTCTAAGACTCCCCTCAGACTAGGTTTGATTAAAGACAGTGTTGCAGTGGAGGTATAGTTAAGGTGTTCGTAGGGGTCAGTGTGGTATGCTTCTGTGATATGTACAGAAACCAGGACTAAGGGTAGGAGTTGGGAGAGTGTAAGATCTTTGTTAGTGTAGCATCAAGAAATTTATGCATCTTGGTTGGAGCGATACAATAGGATTTTCTTGTTTAGTCTCTAGGTATGTTACATGTATCATAGGCGGGGGAAGAAAAGAGAAAAGAGAGCTAGGCGAGATGAAAAGCTTAGAGGGACAGATAAGGGTGGGATAGTTTTACAGATGAGAAATTATTCAGGAGATGCCAACCTTTCAGAGAACAGGCCCAGGCAGCTACAAACAGAATAACAAAACAAAGCCCTGTGTATTTCCACCATAATATCTGGAAGAACATTAGCCAGTTTAGCAGGAACAGAATTTCATTACAAATGCACAGATGAATGGGCCTTTTTCTCCTGTGTCTTTTGTTTAGCCACTGGGTGTTGAATAAATAAGTAATTCAATTCAGCTCTGGGAACAGAGGGAGTAATTTCATATTCTCCTTGTAACTATTTAATGACATCGTAAAATATTGATAACCTAGCACAGTCCAGTCTGTCAGTGTGCTGTTTAACTATTAGTAAGGGGTAGTTTAAATGTTCCAAAGAGGTGATGGTTTTAAGACTGGAGAAGACCTAAGTAAATCTCAGGGAGGAAAAAAAAAAAAGGTTCATTTTCATAACAGAAATAACTTCATAAATAATGGAGGGGGGAAAAAAAAATCCCAAACCCAAACCTATTCTGAGTCTGGTTTTGGTACTTGATGGATAAGCCTGCAAACTTTTAAAATAACTGGATGATTTCACATCTGTTCTATAATGTGAACAAAATACTAATATTGGATACATGCAGTTGGAAATAAATATCTTGTTTTCTTCATTATTTTTTTATGGCTTATTTAGACTTTGAAATTGTAGAAGGTCAGTAAGAATCCAAATGGATCCAAATAGAATCATAGCTTTAACTTGCTGTACATATTCTGGCAACCTATTAATGCAACCTTTCTAGAGTTGCGCTCGAGTAGCATTAAATAGTGGGATCGTTTTACACAAACGGTTCCCAATTCCCGTTCTTATTTACTTCCTGTAGTTCTGGTTGACTTAAAGACTCAATTTTCATCAGCCTGGGTAGAAGCATTCGTAGATACTTATGTTCTGTATGAGAAGTCAAATCTTTGATTTTTCTAAGTTATATTATTTGTAGGTTTACGAAGTCAAATGTTGTTTTGCGCTTCCTGATGAAAGGGTAATGCTGCCATGCCATTTGTCAGTCCTTGGTGTAGTGTGAGATTAGTTGAATGCAGTATATTGGGAAAATTACCAGTCTATAGCATTCTCTGATACAGTCTTTGTACTTTTTAAAACTGTGCCTTTTTTGCATTGATAGGTGGCAGATGTATCGCAGCTGCAAATCCAAGCACGATTTTTTTTCTTAATGGGACAAATTTACTTACAGAACCAGAGTCCAGTATAACATTTTGACTATTACGTCATGTTCAGATTTTGCTGAAAGCTCTACTCTTTTTAGCTGTTCAAGCTAAAAATCTAAAGAAATGAATGTGATTGTGTAATGGTCTATATCCTTCACACTAAGGAGGCACCATATTTTCTAGCCATCACTTTAATTGGACATGTCAGTTAACATGAGGTGCCCGGAGAGAACCTCTTTGGATAGGATTAAGGTTACCCAATGAAGTGTTTTAAGTCTTAAACCTTCAGTTGCTGATGGTGTAATCATTTCTGCCTTGTACTTAACTCTACCTAATCATTTCTGCCTTTTTTCATCTGACGTTCAACACATGCACAGTGTAACAAAACCCAGGTTGTGCATTCTAGCAAACAGGAATGCTTTCACTTCTCTGAGAAGAGCTTCCAAACCTAAAAATACTGCGTGTGTTATGGATATCCAGCATGAGAAGTTGGGCCGGGGAAGAACTTCATGCCTGACTTATCAGTTGCTGTCTGCATCTTCAACAGCTACCATGTGGTTTTAGTTAAAAAAAGTTAAATATGTCTGCCATCTCATTGTGCTTAAATTGTGGAATGTCGAAGACCAGCAGGTATGGTACGATTTTGTGTTGGTAACTTATTTTACTTATGATCCAGAATCTTCTAGTTCTCTTGAAAGTCATTGGATATTTCCTAAATACTTTCTTCTCATTCAGATTAACCTGCCATATAACCTAGTTTTTTTACAAATTAGAAAAATAATGAAATGTCAGCAGTGCAAGTAGGTTAAATATCTATCACTGTGTCTTGTCAAAACGGCTCTTTTCTGGTGTTGCCATTAAAAAAGCTTTTGGAAAAGTCAACATTTGATTGTTGCTATTACTGATCTGTGTGTACAAAGGGAAACAGTTTTAGGAATAGAATTTTAAAGTTTTATTCTTACAAGCAGGTAAATATCAAATCATGGCATAACAAGGAAATCTTTTACGACAAGGATGTTCTTGTTTGGTGTCCAAGCCGTGATATGTACTGTATAAACCACTTGAAAGAAAGAAGAAAAATTCAGAACAATGGACACATTTACAAAGTTGATGTCTCCTTTTTGGCAGTATTAGCACACCCTTTTTGAACACTTACAGAAAGGCTTTGACTGAATTTCCTTTTTTAAAACGTTGTGAAAGTAGAAGGATGAGAGTTTTGTGAGCTTTTTAAAATGCACATACCTTGAAAATACACTTCAAGGTGAAGATCTGAAGTCATCTTCTCATCCCTCTGTCTCACTCGCCTCCCTTGCATTAGGAAATGTTTGTATATAATCACTAACACTTACTGAAATGTTACCTTTTGCACACCAGAATTCCCAGTAGCAAAAACATGTATGAATGTGTTCTGACAGCTGCAGTTCTGTAACAGCTGCTTTCGTATTATTCAAAGTGTAATCTTCTACAAATCCTATAAATTAATTCATTCATAACTCCCTTCTTTACTGCTTGCTGTATTTTCTGTTTACACAATTATTTGTTTACATTAATAAAAAGTGTTCCATAGAGTCCTGAATGATGGCATCTCGGTTAAGTAACTTGCCTTGGCATACGTTTTGTCATTAATTCAGTGTAGATCTGTTTTTCTTTACACTAGGAGAATTTTCATAGCAGTGCCATTATAGGAAATGATGAGGAGTCAAGGAATACTGAACTGCACAGGAAACAACTTTGGGAAAAACAGTCATGGTCTTTGATACACAGGAAAAATTGACTTTGTATTTTTTTTTTTTCATGGAACATTTTGCAAGTAACTATGGTATGAGCCTAAAAATAAAAGAGTTTGTTTGTCAAAACTGGTATTTGCCAATAATAGCTTGTTTTCTAGGTCACTTCTCTGAGATCACGTAGATGGTGGAAACTGCATTTTTGAATCCTAAAGGTAGACAAAACAGTGTTTGGATTTCCTCCTGAGACTTAAAAGGAAAGAAGAATTAAAAAAAAAATGGTGAAGCTGTTCTAATGTTATGTTTGCTCACACCTTTGAAGTTGCATTTTCCATTTCAGCATTAGTGTCAGTAATATTACAGTACAAAGCTCATTGCTTGTCCTGTGGTGCTGAGTCCCTGTACTAAACAAATGGAGACCCTCCTGACTAAAATAACCATTTCAGAACTCTGGTTACTGGACTAAGTTCTGTATTTAGAGTGACCATGTTTCTTTTTGCTTACGTTGTGCAGGATGGAGGCTTCCTGCCTGGAGCTGGCTTTGGAAGGTGAGCGCCTGTGTAAAGCAGGAGATTGCCGAGCTGGTGTGTCTTTCTTTGAAGCAGCTGTTCAGGTTGGAACTGAAGATTTAAAAACACTCAGTGCTATTTACAGCCAGTTAGGCAATGCCTATTTCTACTTGCATGAATATGCAAAGGCCTTGGAATACCATCACCATGATTTAACTCTTGCAAGGTAATCTTGTGTCTTTCCTTAACCATGTTCTCCATGTCATCCCATTCTGGTAGAGATGAGCAGTTGGCTGTTCATTTTTTTTTTTACCAAACCCTACTATTAATAATCTTAGTGAGGGAATGTGGTGACAGCAGAGGGCCAAGGGTTCTGTTAGGTAGCTTGATTGCCCTTTAACCTGGAGCTAATACTCGGTCTCGTGCAATAATCCTAGTACTGACTGAGACCTCGCCAGGTTTGTGGATAATTAGATGGCTTCTTTAAATCCACCCTTCCTTTACCCTTTCCTGTTTTTTAACTCAAGTCTGCCTGGCTCTCCTGTTTACTAGGCAGAACTCATTCATGTTTCTCTGTGTAAACCATGATACTGTGAAATCTAAAACCCCTGTGCTTTGCACTTGCCATTTATGCGTCTGATTTTTAATGACTGGGTATAGATCCAGTAAAAGACAGAGGCACTTAATGCACTTGACCTCAGTTTAGGCATGTATCTCCTGTTCTCTCTGCCTTAACCTGCTCAAATGCTGCAGCCTTTGGGGAACTTGTCTTTTTGTGTTGTTCCTGAAGTATCATAATCTCAGTGGTTCAGTGGCAGTCTTTTGGCTTAAGTCTCATTTAGAATCTAGGAATGTGGCTTTACCGTAGATCTTTCTAGGAGACAAGTATGTCTTGGAAATAATGTAAGACTATGATAGTCCAGTAAAATGCAGCAGTAGTTAAACCTCTCATTCTAATGCTTGGACTGCCTTTTACCTTTAACCATTAAAAAATTCTCTTTATTCCCTTCCTAAAAGAAATTAATTTTAATGGTATGTAGATGAATCTAGTTGAATGCCGTGAACTAGCTGTTGCACAGACAGCACCAACAAAATGAAATGACTGTAATCAAAGATTGAACAAAGTTTATGTGAGTGCAATTTAGATATAAAATTGAATACATACACATTTGCATGGTTTTAATATTTTTTTTCTTCTAATTGCCTACTATACATTGATTATCTTGGTTTCAAATTGTACACTATTATTCACTGGGTGCTTTATTTGTGCAATTCTAGAACAATTGGAGATCTACTGGGTGAAGCTAAAGCTAGTGGGAATCTGGGCAACACCTTAAAGGTACTTGGGAATTTTGAAGAAGCTATTGTTTGTTGTCAAAGACATCTGGATATTTCCAGAGAGCTAAATGATAAGGTAAGAATTGCTCAGGCACCCGGAAGTAAACTGCTAACACATGCTAGTGAACCCTGTTGTACTGGTGATGTGTGCTGCCTTTCAGAGGTAAGTAAGTAAATACAGCATATTGAATACATACTGCATTATTTCCTCAAGACAGTAAGAATCTGTTACTTGCAAGATAGTTGTTTGCACCTGGAAGATTATAGATCCAGGATAACAAAATATTATCCCATTTTGTGGTGGTGGTTTTCTGTTTTGGGTTGGTGTTTGTTTGTTTGTTTTGTTTTGTTTTGTTTGTTATAATTGATTTATTTAAGTTTTAATTATAATTGGCTTCAAGAATTATTATGTATATGGCATCTCAAAAGGAAGTGATGTAACTGAGTGGGAGGAAGGTAGATGTCAAGAACAAGGTCAGAATGGACAGAGCATGTTTTGACAACTAGTTAGCAAACTTCTTTTCCCATCTGTGGGTTGTACTATTAGTTGTGATGGAAGACTCTGAAGCATAAAATTGTAAAGCTGCCTTTTGCTTTTGGTTTAGGTTGGAGAAGCAAGAGCACTGTATAATCTGGGAAATGTATATCACTCTAAAGGGAAAAATGTAGCCAATGTTGGGACTCATGATCCAGGGGAACTTCCAGATGATGTGAAAAATGCTTTACAAAAGGCTGCAACTTATTATGAGTAAGTAGTAGCTTTAAATGTTGGGGATTGAGAGGATGTGATAATCCACTTCATTAGAGTATTGGCAGAGTTGTGGAGTCGTGAACTGACTATGGCATGCTTCTGTTCAGAACAGTGTACCTGTTTTTTCCCTTTTAAACTGGGGAGTGCACCATTTTCTTGTTATGCCCTTACTTTTAGTGTACCTCTTACTACCTGGGAAGTCCTTCCCTTATGTTAGAATCCAGCAGTATTCTTCAAACCAGACTGAGTCAGTGATAGGACCTTGGTATATTTGTATCTATGGTAGCTCTGCAATTAGAAGCAAGCAAACCATCTTGAGAAAAGATGCGGTTAAGTTCAGGATCTCACAGGAAATGTTTCCTGCTCAGTGGAAGATTTATGGTTGCATAAAGGCCCTTAAAATAAGCCGAAGTAGAATACAGACCAGATTAAATAGAATTTCTCCTTTTATAGATGGAAAGATTAAAAAAAAATATTTAAATTACTGCAAGGGTTAAAAACCCCTGTTTAAAAATCACTATTCTTCCCCTTCTCCATTCCCCTGAAACAGGGAAAATCTGTCAATAGTAACAGAGCTGGGTGATAGAGCAGCACAAGGACGTGCCTTTGGAAACCTGGGAAACACACACTATCTTCTGGGCAACTTCAGGAGTGCGGTTTTAGCCCATGAACAGGTACAGCAATGTGCTAGTAAGGAATTCTGTTCTAGGACATGCCTTGTGTTGAATCTTGCTGCAAGTTTTCCAATGCAAGTGTTAAATCTTCATGGCACAGCTTCAAGATTGGCTATTCTTTTCAAGCACTGTGGCCTGAAGAACAATATAGAGGCATGGTAGAGTGTGCATTTCTGTATGCAAATGTGTAAGAAAATACAAAATAGAGTGAATAACACAGTTATTCTATGTTTTTTTTAAGCGTCTCCTAATTGCAAAAGAGTTTGGCGATAGATCAGCAGAAAGAAGAGCATACAGCAATCTTGGAAACGCCTACATCTTCCTCGGTGAATTTGAAACTGCTTCAGAATACTACAAGTCAGTTGACTGCTTAGAAATAGAATTTATACCTCTTCCTGTACAGTTTGCTTCTGTTGTGTCTGGTACTTTAGTTCACTGTAGAGTAGCCTTCTCTCCAACATACCCTTAGAGGAGAGCTGAATATGTTTTTAGCAAAAGATCATGTTTTTCCGTAGTTGTTTAATTCTTATGGTTCTTTTAAGGGAGGGACAGCACTAATATTTTTTGTTTTTCACTTTTTACGTTACTTTAAGTAGATTCTTGTCAGCATTGTAGATGAGATACCTTTCTGTTGATAGGCATTTATTCCCTTTATTCTAGAATCAAACCATTAATGTCTCAGCTCTTAGCAAGTTCTGAAATGATGTAACTTCAGTACACCTGAGATGGGGAGCTGTAAGGCTCATAGGTGGTGCACATCAGCATGAGTTTACATACCTAGTCTGTATTCTCAATTGACTTCTTGATCTCTATACCACTAAGCAGTAGCTACTGTAACTTGGGAAAATACAAGCTTGATGAAGAGACAGGCTAATAAGTCTTACATGAATTTCAGAGCCTACCTGTTCTTTCTGAAAGGGGAAAAAGCTTCAGTACTGAGCAGATTCCTCTTAGTACTCGCATTTTCCTTGCCCGCAGTGGCAGCCTGGCTTGGCAGTTATAGGTCTGTCTTGCTCATGTTGATGGAGAATAAACAATATATCAAGCTGTTTCAAGTGCATAACTGTCAGGAAAGTGCTATAAATTATTGATGAAGCAATAAATTAAAATTTGAAGTTGCTGTTTAAGGGTTCACTCTGTTCTAATAAAGTAAATGGAAATAGGTTGCTGTGGAGGGGAGTGGAAGACAAAATCTTGTAAGAGTGTACATGAGAGTGATTGATTAGCAGCCCATTTGCTAGCGTGGTGTCCTAATTTGTATAAATAACTTTTTTTAGTTGCACAAGTGTACTTCTATAAACTTCTTGCAGCGATTTTTGAGGTGACTAACCCCTTCTTTCAGGAGGACGCTCCAGCTGGCACGACAGCTTAAAGACAGAGCTGTGGAAGCACAGGCCTGCTACAGCCTTGGGAACACATACACTTTGCTTCAAGACTATGAAAAAGCAATTGATTATCATTTGAAACACCTTGTGATTGCTCAGGAATTAAATGACAAGTAAGCCCTAAGAGACTGTTTAATGTGTGCGTGACATACCATATCCTGTTAGCTGTTACCTCTGCTGTCACTGTTCTTTTAAGACGGGTGAAGTTATGTGTTTTCCCTGCTATGCTGGGCTCCAGTATTCATGTGGAAAAAAAAATATTTACTTGTGGAGGTAGTGCAGCTAATGAGTCTCAGATGAAAGATGGAAGTGATGAATGACTGACTCCACATCATCTTCTGTCAGCATCTTCTTTTGTAAGTTAAGGAGAAGAAAAGCCAGCTCTCTTTCATGACTTCATTGTAATAATTTTGCATACCTTCACAAGAATACACCTCCTGCTTTTCCACAAACTAAAAATATGGGAAGGGATGAGGAAAGGAGAATAATACAGTAGCAACTAGTGCTTATTTTATAATAATAATTTATAAGGCCTTTTTTGTGATGTTGGGTGCAAGTAAAATTTTTTGCAACATTTAAATGTACTTCTAACTCAATAAACAGTATGTGAAGAATAGTAAGGCAGGCAATCTAAGAAAAAGCAAAGTAGGTTGTAAAATGTTTCATGCTTGCAGAATTGAATTAATTATATTTCCTGTGAGCTTAAAAATTAGTATTGTTATTAGATTTGTTCATATTTATGGTTATACCCAGATCCCATTCCTTTAAACACAAAAACTTCTTGGTGTTTGAAGACGATAGCCTTCATTTTTGGCACAGCAATCTTTATGTTGGCAATATTACGGAAACCTGACCCCTAGTGTTCAGCAAGGAACAATATAATTGAAAGTTTTAATTTTTTCTGCAGAATTGGAGAAGGAAGAGCATGCTGGAGTTTAGGGAATGCTTACACTGCGCTGGGAAATCACGACCAAGCTATGCATTTTGCCGAAAGGCACTTGGAGATCTCACGAGAGGTACGAGTTTCATGTTGCCTGTAAGTTGGCAGTTTTGCTCTCACACAGTGATTTTTTGGAGCTCATCCATGAATGTGACTTTGAATAATGAAATGGATTTTGACTGATTTCTGAGATAGTTGATTCCAAAGTGTTTCAGCCCTATCTCCCTGCAAGTAGTTCCTTAGTTCTGGTGCCACATTTGACAGCATCATGATGGAGTCCAAGGTAACAGCCTAGCAGAGGTGTTGTAGGCTTTATGTACCTTTTAGTTGTCATGTATTTCATTAAAAGGATGACTCAGTTTTTCAAACAGGAAAACTTTTTCAGCTTTTTTCTTTCAGAACTCTAGGGGACAAGGTGAGCTTTCTATTTACGTATGTGTATACTTTATTACAATAATAGAAAGACTTATTTTGTTTGTTTTCAGGTAGGAGATAAAAATGGAGAACTCACTGCAAGACTTAATCTCTCAGATCTTCAAATGGTTCTTGGATTAAGCTATAGCACAAACAACTCCATGATGGCAGAAAGCCATGCGGTAGATACCAGTCTGAATGGTAAATATATGCCTATTTCTGCAGTACTTGCTAACAGTGAACTTGAAGAATCTGTTGTTTTCTAACTACAGATGGTTGAGTTGAGCAGGCTTTGCATTTGTTTAAATATTCCCTTCTCCCCCCTGCCAAAAAGAAAAATAAGTTGTTTTTGCATTATTGGACCACTTCAGCTCCTCCTTTTCCACGAAAACCCTTTTCCAGGGGTTACAGTAGAAATGAATTCTGGTCAGAGACCCATCATCCTTCTCCTGTGTCCCATGAAAGCAACTTAAGTAGCTTATATCAGTGTGGTTCTGAAAGCTGCTTTTATTAGTGGTTATTCATTCCCTGCTGATACGTTTACCTGCATTGTTTTGGAACTCAGAATTGCTGTATCTTGCACCATAGATGAGTACAGCCACAGCTTTGAAGGTGACACTATAAATCTTAATGATGCAGATGAACTTGATTCTTTCTCGAAGGTACCAGACCAAGAGTAGCACGCCGTCACAGTATGGAGAACATGGAACTTATGAAATTAACTCCAGAAAAGGTTGGCACTTCCCTTGTTTCTGATCTGCTGGTGAGATTGCACTGACTTCAGGAGTTATCAATAGTCATAAATTTTATACTTAACAACTTTGAAAGAAGTCAGCAGAATGTTAAGTCATTTGCCATATCCTTTTTAATTTAGCTCTTTTTACATGTTAAGTAAAAGCAGGTCTAACAATTCTAACAAATAATACTTTTGCAATGTGGGCAACAGCCAGCATCTTGCATATGTTGGTTGGAATGGCTTGTGGAAAGCTTGCTTTATTCCTTCACAGGAAAGAATGAACGAGGTCCTGAAGTTGTGCATCAAAACATGCTCTTTCATCCTTTCTTTAAAGGTGGCTTGAGCTTGCATCATGCAAGTGATTCAGCGTAAAATGCCTAAGCTTTAGCTCAGCTCTTCTGAACATTTTTTCTTTGGGTACAGTCATAGGCACCTCAAATACATGTTGTGTTTTTCACTTCGGGATTTAAACCAACTTGCAAACCATTAGGAGTTTGTGTCCATCCTGAGAAAGGATGCTATTTCAGAAATGATGAAACAGAGTCACAGATCAGTAAACTAACTTTTACCCAAGCTCAAGAGAAATCTCCAGGAGCTGGGAGTTCCTGATTAAAACCTTTTTATCAATCTATCTTCAAGAGGTTTCCTTCAAATGCTGTCTGCCTTCAAGTGGCAGGTTGGCAGTTCTCCATAAATGACTCCTGTGGCAGACTGAAATGGCTCGTTTTCCCACCATACTGGGATTTAAATCACATCTTTTCAAAGAAATGCAAAGCCTGCCCTTGTGTTTATCAAATAGGAAATGAAATCTCAATGTACAGCTGAAGTCAGCACAGATACGTATGAGCCTCTTTGTGTAGTAATTTTAAAAGGGTGTGTGTTTAGCCTAGGGTGAGTCCTTGGCTAGGACCTCTAAGCTTCTGGCTACTATCTGTTTATCTGTGAGCTTTTTTAAAGTACAGAGCCTGTGACAGTCTGTGCCCTAAATCTATTAAAATGTCTCACACAGATTTTTGAAATAAAGTATTAACCTAGTATTGCAGCTTAGCTCTTCTAAAAGAGCCTTTTTCAAGTTACTCATTGAGTAGATTCTGAAAAATAATTCCATAAAAGTCTTCAATATACAGAGCAGTACATGACTGTGGCATTATGGTTGTACAGGATGCCATCTGCTTGGTGCTGAAATCTATGTGCAGATTATAAATAAGCCTTCAGAAAGCAATGCTTTTGGTTAGGCAGTGTTGCTGCAGGATTTGTGACTGTGTTCACAATTTTTGATGTTGAATCAAGAAAAAAAAAAGGGGGGTTTATTCAGTTATTCTAAGAGTCACCTGCAGATAAAGCTGTCAATTTTCTGGATAATTCTATTTATATTAAAAGAGAATTTAGGGAAAGTGTGTTAGATCAGTAAAGCTCTATTTTTGCTGTGGTGAAACAAGATAGTTAGTCCTCTTTGTTCTGTGCTGGCATTCTCCTCCATCCTTCTTTCAATCTTTACTAGGAATTTTGTGCATATCAAGGATCACACTGAAGGGTGGTTGAATATCTGGGTTTGTGTAAGAGTTCGTTATTCTAACACCTCGTAATACAATGGATTTGTAATTTTGTTTTTCATTCCCAATTCCAAGAATGTCAGATGGGAAATGCCACCTGTATCTGCATTTTAGCATTTCCATAAGCTACATTTCCTGCACCATACTCAGCAAGGAAAACTTCGGCATGTTTGGTTAACTACACTGTTTGACCACATTTTAATCCATTGGGTATCACACTCCAGTTCAGTTGTAAGACTCACCAATAACAATATTAACCTGCTTCAGGTAACAAAAGCTCAGTAGTCACAAGTCAAGTAATAAAAACCAAAACCTAAGTTTTCATGTTGTCGTGCTTGGATAAACTAAATTATGTCAAACTGCGTCATTTCAGGCAGGAAAAGCAGCAGCAGATGCGAGGTAACAGTCTAGGTAATTAAAATCAGAAGGCTTCATTTCCTGACTCTTGTTTTCTTAGGTTCAGAACTGGAACAGTGAGATTCTTGCTAAACAGAAACCACTGGTTGCCAAATCTTCAGCAAAACTACATTTTGTAAATCGACTAAAAGGCAAAAAGTACAAAACCGGCACCACTTCAAAAGTTTTGCAGGATGCCAGTAATTCTATTGATCATCGACTTCCAAACTCACAGAGGGTAGGTTTGGTGAGCTGTGAAGACCATCACCTTTACTCACCTTTATCTGGTCAGAATTACAGAAATTATATTCTGGCAGCTGTCCGTTTCAGTGGTACTCAATTTAAACACTGGCTTTGTAAAAGGATGCCCAATCTGCCACTCTCCAGCTGTCTCATAGGTGGTGCCATCTTTAAGCCTTTGTTACTATTAGAACACTTTCTTTCCTGGTGGTTTTTCTAAAGTTACAGCTCAGCATGAAGGTACAGTTTATTTCTAAGTCTCTCCTAGACCCTGCTTCTCCAAACTTAAAATAGTTTCTCTGATTCAGAGAGCAGGGAATATATTTGACATATTCTTAGGGTTATTGCACTCTTGACAGAAGTCAGTTAAAACTAAAAGAACAAAGTCATTTGATCTAATATGAGAGGACTGCTTTTGGCCACAGACCTGAGGAGCCAATGGAAAGTGCTCAGTGCTGGTTTAGGGTTGTAGGTGGATTAATGGCTTGAGGGGATATAACTCCAGCTGTGCTGATCAGAGTACTGTTTCTTTGTATTTCAGAGAACAAAATGTTTCTAATGTATTTTACCTTCCAAAAATGCTTGCTGTATAATTAGCGTTTTCTCTTACACTAAATGTGTCTATAGGAATGGATTACTAAAAAAATTCATTTAATGCATTTCAGATACGCAAATGTCAAACCTATTACTGGACTGAAACTGTGATACAGTTGCCCCAGTTTTAGGTACTCTTGAGTTCAGAATACCACTAACTCCACTTTTCTCTTCAGAAAAACAGTCGAGAGGCAATGGCAGATGAAGGGTTCTTTGATCTGCTGAGTCGTTTCCAGAGCAACAGGATGGATGATCAGAGATGCTACTTTCAGGAGAAGAACAGGTTCTCAGCTGCTTCAGTGGCAACATCCTCTACTCCACCTAAAACAATGCGAAAATGTAAATTTTTAAAAGTAAAATTCATATCTGACTCTACTTTCTACCAAACACTATTTTAAAAAAGCATTTGCATACAGAACTTACTATGGAAAGGATATTATTTCTAGGCTAACTTGTTTTCTTCCTTCCCCCCAGCCTTTTCTACATCTGTAGTTTCACCCCACACAGATGAGTTTCTAGACCTACTCGCTAGCTCGCAGAGCCGCCGGCTCGATGACCAACGTGCCAGCTTTAGCAATCTACCTGGACTTCGACTTAACCAGCAGAACAGTCACTCAGTCCTGGGTCATCTCATGGCGCATAACAACAGGGACCTAGATGATGACTTCTTCGATATACTGATAAAATGTCAGGTGAGGATTTTTTTACAATTATTTAGATTATGAGGTTTTAGAGATTTGATTTATACATCCTGCTGTTCAGTTTCTGCATATAAGCACCTTTATTATCACATATATTATGATAATAATTGATTTGGCAGATGAAGAACATAGATGACTAAAAATTAGGGTTTTTTTAAGTTGTTGTTTGTGTTGCTTGATCTTGTTGTGGGTTTGTTTGGTGGGATTTTCTGTTTGCTTGTTTTTACATTTCCTTCCCCTTGTTTTGATTTACTAATTGTGTGTCCAGTAAGTGTAATTTTAGTATTGATACCATGTTAATCATTTACAGTAACAAATGCTGAAAAAGTGAAGGAGCACAAGCAAGACTATTAAAACAAATATATAAAATGATTTAAAGAGGAAGTGTTTAGATCTGCCTTGTCAGGAGGGCACCTGATACACTGGGAATCCTGAATTCTCAAGAAATTCAATATCAAAGTTTAGTGGCAATAGTGATGGGCATTCCACTTATGTTCAGTTTAAATAACAGTTGATAGCAACTGACAAAAGTGTTGCTGTTTTTTACTTCCTGTATAAGGAAAGGAAGACAACCATATTTTCTGTTACAGGAAATGAGAAATACCATATACCTACACTAAAAATTATTCTTTAGGGCAAAGGATGCTTAAATATCCTTCTAACACTATGACAAAGAACTAAACAGAGGGATTTGTTTTCAGACAGATGGAGACAAACTGTTTGGAAGAACCACTTTAGCTACACTTACACTCCTAACTTAGTAATTTCATTTGCAAAGTTTAACCTGGAAACAAAAGTTGCAAAATAATCTTTCTAATAGCCTTAAATCTGAAACCAAAACCTTTTAGTATTTTTTCACTTATGTTTTCACTTGTTTTATATATTCCTGTAACATGTAACTTTATTGCTTGGCCTATCTGTAGGGTTCCAGACTGGATGATCAAAGATGTGCTCCTCCCTCATCTGCGAAAGGACCAACTGTACCAGATGAGGATTTTTTTAGCCTGATTTTACGGTCACAAGCTAAGAGAATGGATGAACAAAGAGTCCATTTACCCTCAACTATAAAGGGACCAAGTTCTAGCTGAAGGAACAAATAGGCATGTACTGTACAATAGTATCTTAGGTATCATTGTTTGCTGGAAAAACATAATGCCTTCTTACAGAAGATGCACTTAGTAGTTTTGCCCCCTTTCTAAAACCTTTTGCTATGAATAGCAGCAGTATCACATTTGTGACCAGTCATTGCTGCTATTGCTTTTAGCTGTGTCCGAGACACTGATTACTGTGTCCCTCTTAACTGCCTCTAATCTGTGAACATTATACAAATTTTCCTATCAAGGTTCTGTCATTGCTGAGGTGTGGATTCTACCACTGTCTCAGTTGAGTGTTAAGACCTAAATTTGTCTATTCTTTTTCAAGAAAACTTGATTTTTTTTTTCTTTGTACCTACCTGGAAAAAAGTCCTGTTTTGTTTTGTACTTTTTTAAAAAGATAAAAAATAATTGAGAAATAGGTTCAGTACTTAAATCTGTCTTTGCAAAAACAGAGGTTGGAAGAAACAATCATTTTTTATTAAATAAAAAATATTAAATCAAACTCTAGTTTTGATTAATACAAAGGGAATCTTTTCAAAGCATGCTGGTTTTTTGATTACATGTGGTTGTTTCCTGTATTACTAAGCTCAGTTTTACAATCAGAAGGATTTTTTAAGATACACTGAAGCAAGTACTGTTCTATCCTTTGTGTGGTACAGGCCCACCACCAGCAGCAGCCTGAGAAGTGTCAGGGAATCACAGGGGTGGGAAGTGCTTGGCATTAAGTAACTGACTTTAAAATGCTACAAAGAGGAAATCTATGTATGCTGCTTTTTACTTCATCTCATCTACTTCTACTCTCAGTAAGTATTTGCTTGCTGGGGTAGTTCAAGTATAGGGATTTTCAGTTACAAATCAGTGATTTTAACATCAACAGTGGCTAACTGTTCACTTCAGGTATTTATAAATGAAGTGATGTCTTTTTATTATACACTTTAACAAATATCTGTTGTTACTTTTAGCTTCAGAGTAAAATGTCATCATAAGAACAGTTAATCAGGCGGACTCCAGATAACGCAAACTATGTCACAGTTACTGGAAGTTTTACAAACACGCTCTTGTAGCTTTTGTAGCACTAAAATTGAATCCTACTGAAACTAACACTCATCCTCCTGCTTTTAAGGAGAATTGTCAGAATATTATTCTTAAAAACATGTGTTACCATTAGCTTATTGTGCTAATTTTTGGTACTTATCTTCTAATAAACATCTGCTACAACATCACTTCTCTGCAGCTAGAATATAATCATTAAATTGTCCTAAAACTTAGCTGACCCATTTTAAAGAATATAAAACAAAAGATAGTCCTGAGACATTTGAGCTGTGATTTGTCTTATGTGAGTTACATGAATATCAGCAGCTTCTTTCAGATCATGTGACAGTAACCTGATGAGACTTACGGTTGCAAGACCAGAGTATCAGTGCTTTTCCACCACTATCTGGTTTTCCTCAAAACTTATTAACACTAATTTCATTTCAAACAATCAGCAACACTCCACAAGCCTGTTTTCTTGGCCATTTAAAGTTGTATTATCTTATTTAATGCATGCATTCAAAATTACAGAAGCAGGACCTATACTCAGTCTCTGTTTTTAACCCCCCACCTTAGAGCTGTGCATACCAATACTCTGATCAACGAGAAGTCCCATCAGCACTCTGATGTTCTTTTCTACTTTTGAGAACTCCAGAAGAACAAACAGAAGTTTTTGACAACCAAAGATTAGAGAAAACTTACAGGAGAGCTCAGGCTTCCTCAGTCTCCCTCCTGTGAGTCACATGAACTGCTCTTTATCTTCTCTTCACACAGTCCCATTGCAGAATTCCTTTGTTTGAGGTTTTTACTAGGATCACAGTTTTCTCCCACCTCTTGCTGTGCTTTGTCTGGCTCCTGTTTCTGCTGCTCAGGTGCAGGTTCTTCAGTGTGTTTTTCAGCTGTGGTAGGTTCTAGTCTACAAACTTCAGACTCAGTGTGCAATCTATTCTGTAAAAATTAATAGTAAGCTATTAATCAAGTAATCCAAAGTGACAACATCTACTGTTTCAGGTGTAGCTTGGCTCAAGGGGCAGAAATCCCCCAAAACATGTCTGGTCTTGTTATTTCCTGGGGAACAGTACATGTAAATAAGCACCACTTAGAGCACAAGGCTGGCTTTAATTTTCTGTAGTGTACAGAATAGTCAGCAATGCCTTTTTTCCACCACCTTTCTTCTGTGGGGAATCATTATTGCCCAGGATGACATAATGAAGTTACTTCTTTAAAGAAATCTTAAGTCAGTAGTTTCCTGCCACAGTTAGCCATTGCAGGGTATTTTTCCAGAACAAAACATGCCCAATACACCTCTACCAAACAGTTCTATAGGGGTACAGGCACAATTTGGGTTAAGCTTGTTGTTAAACATGTTTGAACAGATGACACTGAAATCTATTACATTACATCCCAGGTCAAAGAACACCAGGCCTAACATACACGAGGTTCTGGTTTGTGAGACTCTTCTACTTGCGTATCTTGCTTATTGCCTGTATGCGCAACATCAGGACTTCTTCCATTTCCTGGTCTCAGAGAAGGGTCTTCCCTGTCACAAGGTGCTCTAGAAACATAAAGAGGTTTCTCTGAGTAACAGCCATCTCCTTTGCTCCCATTGTACTGCCCGAAGTCTATCTTGTCCTGTTGATGGTCAGGGGGAAGAGGACTTCTCTTCTGAGATGATGTTAAGTATCTTAACACAGATGCTGATGATCCTGCACCATAGCAGAAAACCTGGGGGAGGGAAGAATAGAAATATAATGTCAAACATTTGCAGCTTTCAGTTTTCATAGGAAATTCCAAGTCAAATAAGCTGCAGTAGAGACAAGCTTGCTGCAGTCTGAGCATACACACACTTGAGTTCATCCCCAGTGTTACACTAAGGATGCTGAAGGCTCTAAATTGATGCTTTTATGTACAAAGCACAAATTACACACATCACTGTGTAATGACACGAAGAAATAGGAACTAAGCTGCAATAAACTGTCATAGAGTCTAAGATTTTAAGCAGTTTAATGCTGTTTTATCCCATTTGGGGAGTGTGAGGAGAGATGTGGTTTTTAAATACAAATTTACCTATTCTAATTGCTAGAATTGCTAGAAAAACTTTGTCAAGAAACAGTTCCCTTGTAGAAATTATTTTATCTGTGCTATGAAATCTGTTAGTAGTACAAGTAAGAAATAATATAAAATTATACTTAATATATGAAAAATAAAACTGAGCTTTAAAATATTAGATACATTTATACGAACCAGGACAGCTAGAGCCATAATAATTAGCACTGGAATCTGCAGGAAGAAAGGGATCTCCTTCATAAGTGCTTTGATGAATTCACCAATACCTTGTCCTACGTGCTTCAAAGGCTCTGTTACAAAGTTGGTGAAAGTAATTGCCAGTGCCTACAAAAACACAGACAAAACAGCCATTGTTGACATTGATGACAAACAGGAAGGTGCACAGTCTCTATGGGCTGGGCATATACCATACCTTGGTGGGTGGAACCAGCAAAACGGGATTGACGAGTAGAGTTTCATAGTACTTCTGACAAGGATCGTCCTGAAACGTCCATTTACTTCTGAGCCATTCTGCAGCCAAAGCAGAGACTTGGTTTTACTACTTCAAAAAGTAATTTTTTTATGACAGAGCCATAATACAGAAAGTAGCATTTCAATTACAGATGAAAGGAAATCCCTCCTCTAGATATGGTTCAAAGCTTGGGTTTATTTTTAAAAGTCTCTGATTAGCATTGCAGTGCAGTTTATCCAGTCATGGGGATACAGGCAGGAGAGGAAAGGCTGGAAAGAAAGAGAAGAGACTCAGGCTCTCCCATGTCTGTCTTAATCAAGAAAGTTTTCTTAATTAGAGGAAATTAGTCCTAGAAGCCTCAGAAGAAACTTAAGTCTTGTCTGTGGGAACAATTATCGAGCACATCTTGTCCACAGCCACTGCAACAGAAGTGCTAAGTTGCGCATAGATCAAAATGTGTATTTTGCTTGCAAGATTTCAAGGGACTATTCTAGTTATTGGCATAAAGTCTTACTCCTTAAGGGAACTTCTAAGGTAAAAAACACTAATTTATGACATCACTGTTTCTGTAGTTTGATTTCAGTGCAGTCTGAGCATAAGCCACTGAAATCTGACATAAACAGAATGATCATTGGCAATAAGTTATAAAGGAAAGACCATAACAAGCACTCATTAAGAGTTCCCATCACTAACTTACCTGCTATAGCACTGGTAACAAGTAATGGCTAACAGAATACTCAGCTTTCTCTTAAACTAACACCACCAGAGTACATTGTTACAGATCTTATTGCTCAGGTCCGTTGTACATGCCTGGCAGATGAAAAATCAAAATCTTTTTCTTCAATTCTGCCCTTCTTTCTCTTGAGTAAATGGCACTGGGTAGTCCTGGGGGAGGGGAGCTCAGAAATACGGTGTAAGTTATAGGGAAAAGAAGTAACACCATGACATGCTCCTAGCAGTTTTGTGATCAGGTCTTCTCCAAAGGCCTAGAAAATAAAGTCTTGCAGAATGGAAAAATGGAAAAGCCATGTAATCATAGACTGGTTTGGGTTGGAAAGGACCTTAAAGATCATCTAGTTCCAAACCCCCCTGTCATGGGCATGGACTCAGACTAGACTAGGCTGCTCCAAGCCCCATCCAACATGGCCCTGAACATTTCCAGGAATGGAGCAGCCAATACCTTCCTGGTCAACCTGTACCAGTGCCTCACCACCCTCACAGGGAAAAATTGCTTCCTTATATCTAATCTAAACCTATCCTCTCAGTTTAGATCATGTATCACTGAAGAAAATTCAGTGTCTTACCCATGAAGAAATTGTGAGTATTCTTGGATACTGTTGCCAAACATTTTGCAATCTTAAATACAATTACAAAACAGTGAAGCAAGTATTTACCAATCAGACTTTCCTTCCAGTTGAGCTTCTCAGCACAGACATTATCAAACTGCCCCATTTTTGCGATTTCTGCTTGGTGTTGTGCAAAGGCCAGCTGCGGGAGAACAGGAATTGCTTGTGAAACACAACGCGCAATGGTGCAGGATGCAGCACTGCACCTGAGCTAGTGACCTTTGTGGTAATCACCCAGGTCAATCTATGTGAAGAAAAGCCTGCTACCTAAACTGTTTAACAGAGTTAAAAACTAAGTACTTCCTGGAAATGGATACAAACTAACGGGACGGCTACTTCCAAGTTAGCCTCCAAATGGAGGCTGAATTACCAAAAGACCGAACTCCAGTATTCAAAGATACCAGTTCAGGGCAAAAGTAATCATACAGTCGTTTTGGTTGGAAAGGGCCTTAAAATCATGTAGTTCCAACCCCCCTGCCATGGGCAGGGACACCTCACCATGTCACCCAAGGCTTTGTCCAGCCTGGCAAGTCTGACAACATCTTGATTCCTTCAGATGTTTTTGGATTAAAAGCAGAAACCCCTCTCTGCAATTACCAATTAAAACATCAGGACATCCTGTTTTTGTTTTTAAAGTAATTCCTGTTAACAAATACCTTTATTCATTATTCTTCTGCCTTACAGTTTGCAACTGATAATCAAATAGAAAAAATGAAGTCAAATAATCTGTTCAAAATCTCTGACATTCTTCATCAACTCATTCCGCCTGTGTTCAAGAGCCATCCCACCCTCAGGCACCCACTGCTCCTGGGCCTGACAGGCTGCAGTTACATCCTCATGGCAGAATGTGAGGACCAAGATTTTGTGGCTGGACTACAATCTCATAGCACAAATTATGCCTCATCAAACCCACCAAACAGTAAGCCACCTGATCATCAGTAATGAAACGTTTATCTGTGGCCTGTCACACGTTAAATACAGTTTTAGCCAGGAGGTCTTTAGAAAGATACACAACCCCACAACCTACAAGAGTTTTCTACCAAGCTGTGTTAGACGAGTTCAGTCTCTCCTGCCCACACAGCAGAATGACAGTAGCATCACTGTACGAGTTCTCTGCCCCCCTGTGGCAGGATGAAAGCCAGCAGCGTTTCTTTCGTTTAAGCCCAATATACCTGAAAATATGCAAGATGTTCATCTGTCTATCTATTTTGCTGTCAATTACTGCTTTACATTAACTTAAGGAACTAAATAACCTTAACTCCCTCATAACTGTAACATTTTAAGCCTAAAAGCCATTCAGATTTCAAACACCTTACCTTATACAAATAAAGCCAATTCCATGCAAAACTGATGAGGAAACTTATTAATAGTACTCGTTTCAGCTGAACAAACCAATGAATACGTGTCCAAAGCTCTGTAGCTATTACAGTCACAATACACACTAAGCACAACAGTATCTGAAAAACAAGAGATGAAGAAAAATTCTGATGTGGGGTTGGAATTTTCCAAGCTTACTGCCAGCACACAGGAGGGATCTTCCAGCTTTTGCTTTACTAGCATCATTTCATGGAACAACTGACACAGAGTTTTTCCATGCTTTCACAGCAGACCAGCAGCAGTACAAAGCAGAAGAGTTCCATGGTGTTGCTGGCAGTCATTCCTGCCACAGCCTGACAGTGCAGTTGCTCATTTCTTTCTTGTGGTATTTAGTTATTTCTTCCTTGCAGTATTTACCATGTTACCTACCACACTTAAAAAACTATAGCATTGGCAGAATTCAGTATTGAGTAGTATGTGCCTGGTATGAACCACAGAGCCACTGCTGCCAGCTCCTGCAGTCTGCTCAAGAGCAAACTGGTTAACAGCAGCAGGACTTCAGTGGAGCCCTTCAGTCCCCTTCCATCTGAGGAGCCCAACAGTGAGGCTATGCTATTCATAGCTTGCTTTCTTCATTTGGCTTCCATGGACCTCCCTCAGAACTAGACAGGCTGCTGTCAAGATTACATGGGCATCAAGTGTTAGCATATTCTGCACTGTAAAGATTTATTCAGAGAGCTTCAGCTTACTGGGGATCCTCAGGCCAGCGCTCTAAATCCATTTTAGAGAATACAGCATCACACACAGCCATGCTCTTCTCTCCAACACTATATAATTTTTTCCCCAAAATTCAAAAAACCCCATGACCTGTAAGACCTCAAATATTTATACTATATATATAATACATAAATACATTCCCGCTCCTGCAGAGGCCAACAACTTCAGCATCTATTTGAACAGGAGACAAATCAGGGAAATTTATAATGCATGAGTTGCAGTTTAAGTGCTAAGAAAGCACTGGAGTCTACTCGAGCACCACAGACTCCCAGGGTCTAATGAGTCTTGCAACAGGGATACAAAAGGCATACAAAAGGTGAATACCTCACATCACATGGTTGAGCAACCATGAAACAGTGACGCATTCAAAGTACGATGGGAAGAACCGCTGCAGCTGTCAATATTCATTGACCAGACTTGCACAAAGAAACCAGTAATTTAAAAACCCACAGAACAACAAAAATCTTTTTCTCTTACCAGAAACATATTATATAGCTCTATTCCAAAAGTGTCTTCAAATCTCCAGTGCCAAGCTTCATAATCATGGTGCTTAAAATTGATCAAAATGTCACTAAGCGCATCATCTACAGCACCCGACTGCCACGTTTCCTCCTGCAGAAACCGGAGGATCTCCAAATACGTCTGTTTTGTAAGGATGATCTCAGCATCATAATGGACATGGCCCACATTTTCCTCAGGCTGAATTGAAAGCAAAGCAAAACAGTGTTTAAGAGCTACTAGAAGTACAGATGAAAGCCTGCATCCCTAGGCAAAAACCTGCTTAGGTGCCCTCCACTCTACACCAGCACCTTTTTGAAGTAGACTGCAGGATGAAGAAATGGGACAGGGAGCACACTGTTTCCAGAATTTAATTGTTCATTGTTCTAAAGTACATAGAGCACAAATTCTGCTGCTTTGTGTCCTTTCAACTTGACAGCAAAACCCCAAAAAATTCAGTCAGTTCTCACCTGTTACTGTTATTTTAGAACTACTGCTCATGAACAAGTACTAACTATGAATGTGCCATGTGTGCCCCCATCATGGCTGGGCAACACACAGAGAAGCGATTGAATACTGAAATAACAAGTTTCATACTGCTAAGTAGCATGTTCTTTGTTAAATACTAATTTTGCTATTGCCAAAAATATAAAATATATTCCTGCACCTCTGAATAGAAGGAAAAAAAAACAAAACAGAAAAAACAAAGAAAAAAAAAAAGAAGGAAAAAAAAAAGGAAGGAAAAAAAGGTACAGAATGTTTTGGGTTGGAAAGGACCCTAAGTTCATCCAGGTCCAACCCCCTGCCATAGGCAGGAATGCTTCACACTACACCAGGTTGCTCCAAGCCCTGTCCAACCTGGCCTTCAACACCGCCAAGGATGGGGCAGCCATGGCTTCTCTGGGCAAAAGAGACTACTATATTGTCTTCAATTATATAATCTGTCTTTATTATATTATTTCCTTATTATATTATTGTCTGTCTTCATTATATTGTCTTTTATTTTATTAAGGCAGGCAATAATAAAATAATATAACCTTATAATAAAGACAGACTGTACAATCAAAGACAATATAAGAAGGTAGTAACACGATTCTTCTATGCCAACTCTAGTAAGCTGCTATTCCAAAATGTTTAATGAGGTAGAGTCTGAAACCAAGGTCACCTAAAGGGTCTACAAACAAACAAGATCTGTCTCTTCCCAGTTTAACAACCATTAACGTGAACTGAACATGGTATGATCAGAGCTGCATCACAGCAACAGACTGAGATACAAGACTGAATTCCTATAGTCTTCCTCTGGATGTTTTTTGTATCAAACCAACTGTGTCTCCTGAGCAAACACCGCTAACTCCCAGCAACATGGATGCACACATTTTTATCCTCTCTTCCTCTGCAGTTCAGTTCCCTTCATTCTCATTTAAAGTATGCCAGAATAATGCATCAATACTTGGTAACTGTGAGAAACACAAAGCAGCAATACAAACCCTAGTTAATTTTTTAATGCCAGTTCCAATACTCACCAGGCCAAGTTTTCCAGCTTCATTTAAAATCTTATTTAAGTACCGCTTAAAAATATAAAAGCTTCTGCTTTCATGGGATTTGGCAATCCTCTTCTCACAGTCTGCAACCTGCAATGGGAAGACACTTTGCTTACTTCTTCCTCAAACCAGCTTGTTCATAGGAGAAAAGAAACCCCAACCAACACATGTAACTCAGCATTAAGTGAGGCACATTAATTTAGCAGTAATCCTGTGATTAGTATACCAGATAAAGAGTGCATGCAGTTATCGAAATACCACTTCCCACGGGCCTGGCCAGTACTAGATTTCAGCTCTGCGAACAACTGGGTTTGAATACCAACCTCAGTGAAACTAGGAGAAAAAATTAAAATAAATCTGGATTTCTTTAAGTTTTATGTTTACATCAGAAAAAGAAAAAAAATTTGAAAATATACTAGCAACATTAAAATTACATATCCCATCGGGTCTCCAAATGGGTGAGGGAAGTGAGAGCCCCGGTAGCTATTCAAGGATCACGGCATCCCCTTGATGTCAGAGGACAAAGCAGTGTTGGGCATCTTACAGCCCTTACTGCAGCGCTGCACAAAGTGTCAGCCACAAACGTGTCTCTGTGCTCACAACCCACCCCCTAAAACACGACAGAACTGAACTTAGAAACAAAAAGCCAGGTTTCTTCACTTGGCAGCACAGTGTGACATCAACACCAGGGGACAGAGGCACATAGCTCCTATCAGCCTCTGTTGCATTATACATCATTTTGGGTAACAGACCTCAGTAGGCAGAGCAACAATTTAGAATTGAGTTCAAACCACTCCTATTGTCTCCTATGACTGAAGAGAGTTCCTTTACATAATGCATGTTATCTTACAAATAACAGCAGCAATTCACCTGTTCTATACTATCCAGAGAAGCATCATCAGAAATCACAAAGTATAAAAGGCTCAAAAATACTCAGAAGTTCCATACTAACCTTCTGTTTCAAAGAATCGACTGCCCTGGAGCAACTCGATATTTCAGTACTGACTGCATTGCCAGTCTCATCCTCAGAGTTGTGGTAGTTTGCCTTAAATTGCATCAGAAAAACATGTATTTTGAGAATCACATAACTTGATCGATGTCCCATGTTGTGCTTCTATGGTCAGATCACTTTAACAGGAGCAAAGAAGCTAAAAACTGAGCATTGGCCTTTGCTGCCAATACTCTCCCCACAATACTCGAGCTGCCTCTACTGTTACTTTAGGCTCCTGAAGGGAAACTGCTTTATCTAAATGCATGCTGCCTGCATAAAGTGAGGTCTTGCCCTGTCCTCCCCCACCTGCCCTTTCCCCTCCCGTGAGTGCATCAGATTAGATAATCCCACTGGCTACAACTGACTCAGCAAGCAAAGGGGCAGCAGACACAGCCCCGGTCCAGCCGGCCATGCAGCCAGCCAGCAAGTAAACACAAACCCCACTGTGGGTTGCATGTTCCCTTTCATGTTCCCTCTTCACGATGAAACATTCCTTTTCTTCTGTTAATTGCTCAGACTTAGCTTTAGCAGAGCTGCTTCTACACAGCCAGGTATGCTCAGTGAGGAAGGGCTCCAAAAGGAAGTGCACCATCACACAGACCAGTGAACTCATGATGATAAAAAACATGGTTCTGAGGACTGGGGAGGTCACACACCCTGACTACCTGCAATCTTGCACTGCAGAGCAGAAAAGAATCCTGACAAGATGCATTAACCCAAAGCAGTCATTTTCAAAACGCAGTTCTATTTTTGTGGGAGACAACAGTAAAACTCCCAATACCGCTTCTTCAAAGCTGAAGCAGTTGGCAATCATGTTTAAAGATGCCAAAGCTTGCTTAGGTTTGGGGATGCAAATGACCATCAGGTGGACTTGGGGTAGGGTGAGCCCAAAGGGGAACTCTGCATCAAATAACAGAGGTTTGTTTTTTAAACTTCAGAAAATTACACCTGAAGCATCAAAATGGTATTATTCAAAACCACAAAACCTAATTTGAAAGCTGAAAAGTGACAACAATCAAGGGTGTCTGTACAACCAACCACAGGTCACACTGTGTGCACAGGGATACTGGATAAACAACATGCATCTCACATACATCCCTCACACAAGACAAGCAAGACAGTTCTCCTTGTTAAAACTAGCTTTTCATATTTCATCATCTCCTCAATGTTAATGAATTATTAACAACATAGCACTTGGTCTATGTTTTGACATTCCTTCTGAAAGCTCTGATGCTCAGCATCACAAACCACCACTGACCACAATAGTCTCATAAAATAAACCAGGTTTATTCCCATACTGCTGGTGAAATGGGTGATCCAAGTGAAATATAATCATTAACCTTGACTTCCCTGATTTTATCAGCTAGAAACTTAATTTTCCAGATCTTTAACGTTCTACTTGAGAAACAACAACAGGTGCTTAACCAAGTCCTTTGCACAAGAAATAACTTGCTCCACAAATCAACTGCCAACTGTGAAGACAAAAGACCCAGTCCTGTGGCTTCATCAGTGCCACAGCAACTCCTCAGGAGAAGAGCTCATGATCCACAATAATAGAGATATCTACTTTTCAACCTTTCAATTTAAACAATGGGAACACAACACTCTTCTGCATGAGGATTCAGATGCAACCTTGTAAGACCTCAAAAAGGCCATGATTCTACTGATTTCTAATGCCATTATTTAAGGCCAATCTTCCAACAGCGTGTGGCTGAAGTACTGTTTGGCAGAGAGAGACACATACGTACTCATGCACCCTTTTTCTACCTTGTAAGGTCTCATTTTTCCTGATGCTGCATCGTAGTTGAGCATATCCGTGGGGTCAATCCATTCATCGTCTTGAACTTTACTGCTCCCTGCTAACACAACTGCACACAGCACCAAGGCAAACAGCATCCTGTATCACTAAACAGAACAGGAGAATCAGGGTGTTATAGGCTGTACAAACACCTGAAACAATCTTACAACCCTAAAACAGCATTCCCAGTGTTGTTTAAGCAAGTTCTCCATCGAGCACGCTAAACGTCACTTACACGTTGTTCTTCCCCAAAGAAAACAGTCAGGGACATGCAGCAATGGAGTTGTACTGTACGACTGCATCAATACCGCTCCCTGCAGCTATCGGCGCGATAAACCCGCGCAGAGCTCCTCCGGGCTTCCCGACAAGGCTGTAGCTCCGCTGTCACTGCACACTCCCCGGCAGGACTCGCAGGGGACATGAGAGCATTCCTGCCCTGCCCGCTCGGCGCTGCTCCCGCAGGCCCGAGGCCGCCCTCCTCGCTTCCCGCCGGCCTCGGGGCGGGGAAGCCGCGAAGGGCCGTAAGCGCTGACACAGCTTAAACGGGGACCCCCCCCCCCCCGCCCCGTACTTCTTCCTCTCCTTCGCTTCGGTTCGTCTCGCCGGTTCACCACCGCCGCGGCCTGAGCAGCCACCGGCCCTGTCCCCGCTCCTCCCCGCCCGCTCACCGCCACAACCGCGCCTGCTCCGCACGACTCGCAAGCCGCGCCGCTCCAGGCCGCTGCCGCCGGGGAGGGGCTCCGCGCTGCTCCCGGCCCCTTCCGTCTGCGTGCCCGCGGCAGCCGCCGCTCTCCTCAGCCCCGGCACCTCCCCGAGGCTCCCGGGGGGCGCCGCTCTCGAGGGAGCGAGGGCTCCGCAACGCTCCGGCCCTCAGGCGTTCGGACGGGCGGCCCCGCCTCACCTCAGGCCGGGCGGGCAGCCGCTGGGTGGGTGCGAGCGAGCGAGCGGCAGCGGTTTGGAGATAACAATTAGCACCGGGAGGAGCCGCAGCCGCGGGCGGGGGAAGAGCCACTGCACACAGGGGAAGGCAGAGCGGACCGGGCCCAGCACCGCACATGGGAGAACCGGCCACAACGGCAGCGCGCACAGCTCAGCACCGCCCCTGCTCCCCCTGTACAGGGGTTGGGTTACGGTGCCTGCAGTTAGAGACACGCAGCAAGTCAACCCTTCGGCGAGCTCCCACCGAAGCACAGCTCAGACTCAGCGCAAGAGGCTGGGACAGAAAGCACACAAACGAGATCTGCTCCGTAAAGACCCAAGGGACAATAAACATCATCTAAGGAAATGAGTCTTTAAATATTTGTAGTGCTCATTAGAAACAGTCTGCCAGCTTTGGCCACAGGTGGACAGCTGGAGGAATACACATCAGACACAGCATCTCCCTCCAAAGCATCATTAACACCTTAAGTGTCCAGTACACAGAAATACATCTTTTCAGCTCTGTGCTGCTGTATCATTACTTACCACAGTTCCAAGTCATGTACTTGGAGGCAGGATCCAGGACCTAAAGTCTTCTCTACTTCCATGCATAAACCATACCTGAAAAAAACGTTTTAGTATCACAGCTACACTGAGGAATTATAAACCAACAATCCGAAACAGCAGAGGAGGCAACTGCAGGTGTTGGAGGTCTTTATTGAGATTATAGCACAGATACACTTCTATAGTTACCTTTCCACTTTTATACGATAGTTAAAAATGCTTGCTACAGTGCACATATAACTTAGTAACCAAGAGAACCCAAAACTTAACTGCAGTTCAAATAAATAAATAACCTAAGGTTGAAGTTTATATTTTAAAAAGTAAAAGGAACTGTACAATATGAAAATATAACAATACATAAACATTAGAATCTAAACTTTTGTAGAAATAAAACTGCTATTTCCCATACATAAACAGTGCAAGAAATAAAATTCAGATAAGCTTCTGAACTGGGCATTTAAACAAGTCTTGAATTATCATGCAGACATAGCATTTTAAGCCATGCTGGTTTCTATTACAGCATTAATGGTACCCCTTTTACTTGAAAAACTGATAGCCATTAAGCTCACTGTGACAACTGCTGCCAATCCACTCTTTTCTACAGTACATTATACACAGAGGTATTCTGTTGCATTCAAAAAGTAAAATATATGTTTCTAAAGAAACAAATAGGAAAAACCCAAAATTGGTATTTTACTTTTTCCAACATGTTAGTTTGCTCAGAACAATGTCATGTAGTAAAAACAGCAACATTTCTACCCAATCTAGATGCAAAGAAAGTAAACCCCACGCTATGTACCAGACCATCATCAAGATGCAGTTACTGCCTAGTCACCTTTGAAGTTCAGAATTCATCACTAAAAAAGAAGTTGTGGAGATGTTATAAAGTTTGACATCTTGAGGAGTGCTGAATATAATAAATCTGAAAAAACAGTGGTAGCAATTCATGTTGTGTGTGTGTGTGTGTGTGTGTGTGTGTGTAACTAGTTACATACAAACTTAAGTGTTGTCCAGCGTCAATTTCTATATAAAACTCTCATCGAGGCAAAGACCAAGGAATGCAATTAATACCAAACTGTAAACACATCATTCAGGTTAGAGTGCACATCGACAACAGAAGAGTTCTCCTCATAGACTTTGGCAACAAGACTACAACAGGTCACAGCAGCATGAGTTCACATGGAAGACTGAAAGCACTGCAAAAGAATATACAAAAAACACCAAGACCTCCTAGAAACCGGAAAAATCTGTGACAAGCACCCCTCCTCTCTGTAAGACACTCTCCTGCTCAACTGCTGCTCTCTCAATGCCTAGTTATTATTACTTGGGTTTTACAGTTCTGTAGTCTCAGGTCTCTGTGCTTTAGCTGCATAGGTTGCCTTTGCACTCTAGCCATTGTAGGTCCAAAGGGTTACAGTTCTGTCTGCAGAGGATGACAAGAAGGAGAGATCTTGCGTATGCCACCTGCACTGAATAACTTTGTCCTTGTGCTCTCCTACCACCATCAGAGGAAGCTGCTTTGTGAGGTCTCCTGTAGCAGAAGAACATCAATCATTAGTCATGTCATGAATTTATATCCCAGCTTTCTGTTGTTGTGCCCCCTCCTTTTTGTTTTCTTCCCCCCCCCATTTGTTTACTAAACCTTACATATATGTTTCATCTTATAAAGCATACTTTGACCCCTCTCTCTCTCACTCACACACAGAGCATAATACAAGGCCCCAGCATTTCAGTTTTTTGACATTACTGGACACTACGAATTTAAAATACAGGAATTCACAATTTTCACACCATGTGATTAAAATTTAATGGTCCAAAACCATCAAGTTGCTAAGATGTACCCAACATCCCCTCTCTTGTTAGCTCTTCTCCCCAAAATAAGCATTATCATTCTGTTTTTCTTTTTTAAAAGGTCCATTTTATGACTGCTGCCTGAAAGCAATGGCCACCTCATCAGGCAACAGTGGCAACTAGTTCTTCTCCAATATTTAAACCCCCTTCCCAAAGCAAGAATTAGTTCATAGCCCACATTCTTAGCAACACAACTTTCAAAATGCCAACAGACACAATCACATTTATATACACTTCAAACCCTTCAAAGCTCTACTCTCTTATCTTGTTTTTACCGAAAACCTGGTATTTGAACCCAGTTCTCCTACAGCTTCAATATTAAAAACACCAAGTCAAGAACTACCCTTGTGCTCTTTGCAGTACATTACCTTGCAAGTCTGTCACCTTTATTTTCATATCATACGATCCTGTAAGCAGGTAGTGTGCCCCCGGGGAGAAGCGAACAGAGCGAACATCGCTGGTGTGCGGGTGGTAGCTCTGCACCATCCGTCCTCCACGAATATCGTACAGCATGCAGCTGGAGTCCTCCTGCCCCGTAGCCAGGAGACGACCACTGGGATCAACCGCTACTGAGGCTACAGCGCTTCCTATAGGAGAAAAAACACATACATGTACAGTTGTGCAGATAGCCCTTTTCTAATAACAATACATTGTGAATAACTGTGTAATACATTGTGTAAGAATACCAAATGCTGGCCTTAACCTTAAGGTGATCCTACCTACCTACTGCTATCTTAAAATAAGACAATTTATTATGTTCTAGCACTTAAAACTCTGAAGCCATAGGTCACACCAGAAGGTAGCAAAGCGACCATTAAGTAACTGTTTTGTCAGAGGAAATACACAATAATGTAGAAATAATGCAAGGAATTCCACGTCCTCCCTCCGCCCCCAGCCCCTGGTTCCAATAAACAAATCTGAACCCAAGTAGTTCTTAACAATCCTTCTGCAGGTTTCTAGAGAGTATGAGTAACCAGAGTAAACTGGCAGAAATGGCTGCTTCTTCCCACCCTTGCCTTTGATTCCAAAATAGTTCTCTGTTCTTTTTTTAAAATGTTAATGTACTTGTAAGTGGCTGTTTTGAGTCAAGATAAAGGAAATGTGACTTAAAAGAAACAGTCACCAACAAACACAACACAGAGTTAAAGATCTCCTCACAACTTCTGTCTCTTAAAGCCAAACCTCCATTATGCAATGCAAAAAGCCTTCCATTCACTCTATGCTACACTTTGACATCTTGAAATATATTTTTATGCAAGAATGGTCGGAAGCAGGATAGCAAAACCTTACCTGTTCCATGAAATGTTGTTCCCACAACACGAACACAGCTTGGCACTCTCAGATCCCAGAATCTTACAGTCTTGTCTTGGGATCCAGATGCGATCATCCAGCCGCTCCATGTATAAAGTGCTAAAATATGACCTGTGAACAAGAACTTGTTTATTTCATCAAGTATCAGTAATCAAACAATGAAATATTACAGTTCTGATTCTGGTTTTGCATTCAGAGATTTAACAGTCCTGTGGGAAATCTGCCTGTTGCACGATCTAAAATGCCACCAGTATAGGCAATACCCAGCTCTGCATCTTCTCTGGAATGAAGCATGCGCTCCCTCCATTAAATTAACAGCCAACATATCCAAAAACAAACACTCCCCACCTCCCCTCTAAATACCTTAAGAGCCACCTGGAAAGGGAAAAAAAATAGTCTTGCTAGAAAGAAAAACACAAAGACATAAACTTCATTATAATGTAATACAGACTTTCAAAGTGCTCAAGAGAAGTGACAACATACATACCAGTGTGGCCACTTAGAGCGTGTAGGCCCTGTCCTCGCTGACAGTCTGTTGTGTAAATATTACAGTCTCCTGCTCCAGCGCTTATTAAAATAGCACCACCGCTTTCTGGGCCTTCCATAAAAGCAAGGTCTCTGATTGTCCCATCATGCATGCTGAACTCCAGATCTGGTCCTAAAC